CCAGAGGCTAAAAAACTGTGAGCTAACTCACACTAACTCAGCTTAGAGGGAACCCTGGTCCAGGCCCTGGTCCTAATCGGGCTCCTTGAAGAAAAATATCACACTTTAAAAGAATACCGCACGATGGTGTTGAATAGTGCCGAAAAGGTCATGGATGTCTTATGACGAACCTGTTGTGTATTGGGATTGAATCATCCCTGATGGAATCACCCCTGAGAGTGGCTGAGCTTGGAGCATAAGAACAATAGCTGACCAGGACTCTGGAGGTGACCAATGAGGAATTAATGTTATGTAAATAGCCTATCATTGGGAGTGGGGTGTGTTTGGGTGTGGCAATTGCATGCTATTTAACAGAGCCGAGGCTATGGAGTCTCGTCTTGCTGTTGCTGGAATCACAAAGAAAGTTGAGCTGATCACTAGACTCGGACCTGCTCATCCATGGAACCCACTATTTAACAGACCCCTGGTGGGTTTCCAAGGCAAGAGACGTTCAGAGCCGGTTGGCCATGGCCTGCCTCCGTGTAGCAACCTTAGACCTCCGTGGCGATCTGCCATCCAAGAACTAACCATGGCCAACTTAGTTTACGGAAATGGGGAGGAGGTGTTGCTTTTTTTTTCTTGGCAGGAGGAGGAGGATGAGCAATCATAAACCAAAGATTCATCTTGTATCTAGAAAATCTAGAAAATTTTCCATAAAGTTGAATACAGGTAGAGATTCACAGGTGGAGTTTTTCCACAAACAATTTTTAAGAAATTCAAAAAACTCTGTGATCTGTAAGGATGTAGTAGTGTTTCTGCCAGCTGACTCGACAGACCCCCAGTTCTAAACCCGTTTCAATACTTTTTTTCCCAAGAATCATGCTGGATTCAACATTTTAAAGGTACATGCAGACATCCATAAAGCATATTCAAATACAGCAATCCTCAGTGATTCCCATTGCAGAGTCTATCATTTCTTGGAACCTCCCTTTGAAATTCTGAAGCATTTCACCATTTTCATTTCCCTCTAACGCCCCTAGCATTACTCAGACCTACCTAGGCAAACAGTATGGGCACATTTTTTTAAAAAAAATGTCTTTGCATGACTTCAGAAAGGAAATAGTTAAAGAGTTAAGCCATCTGTTATTTTCATTACGAAAAAGCCCCCTACAATTAGTGTCTTGTTCATCTTTTTTGAAAAAATAGGAACTATTATGCAAATACTCTGCAATTTGGTTTCAAATGCTCTTTGTGCTCTGATGAGCAATTTTCTTTAATACGAGCCCAGCCTCCTTGCCAGGACTTTTTTCTCCTGTGTAATTTCCCCCCCTCCTCTTTTTTTCAGGGGTTGGGGGTGGAGGGGCTTCATTGTGCTGACAGAAAGTTCCTCAGATACTTTTGCCAAGACTTGTGGTGGTATCATTGTTGTTATTCTTGTCAGAATTTTTAAGAGGAGTGCATTGGGGAAAAAAAAAACTTTTAAAAAGCTCACCACGAACATCAGAAGAGCCCTGCTGGATCAGACCAGTGGTCCATCTAGTCCAGCATCCTTTCCTCTGGACAGCCAACAACAGGGCACAGAGGCCAAGGCCACTGATAGACTCATCTCCCATAAATCTTATTGCCGTGGCCATCACAACATCCTCTGGCAGCGGATTCCACATTTTAATCACTCTCCGTGGACTGTGAATTAGGGCTCCTGCAGCCATACCTGTGAATGAAGGATGCTTCCAAATCCTTCCACAAGAGGAATCGTCCCCACCAGCTGGCCAATTGTTCATAGGACAGGGGGAAAGAACTGCCTGCGTATTCTTTTTGCCCATCTTCTATCAATGTGTCCCAGACTTTTGGTTGGGGTGACACACCCTGGATACGTCTTGGGATACACAATATCCTTTAGAAGGATGGATTTCAACATGTATACAACTACACATGGAAACGTGGATCCCGTGTTGTTCCACAGGAACAAAATATGAATTATTGTCAAAGGCTTTCACAGTCGGAGTTCATTAGTTGTTGCAGATTTTCCGTGCTGTATGGCCATGGTCTTGGCATTGTAGGACCTGACGTTTCGCCAGTAGCTGTGACTGGCATCCTCAGAGGTCTAGCACAGAAAGATGGAGTACTCTCTGTGTCAAGGTGAGAAGAAAAATAGTAGGCAGGTAATTTATATCTCCTCGGGAAGGTGGGGTAGGGCTGAGTCATTATCTTGTAGGAGTTCCCCAGACTGTGAATATGCTGATGGAGGAGCTTTCCTGAGGAGGTTCTTTTGTATATGGATTGTTTCCTGAGGAGGTTTCCTGTTTCCTGAGGAGGCTCTTTTGCCTATCCTTTTTCTTCTCACCTCGACACAGAGAGTCCTCCATCTTTCTGTGTGATACCTCTGAGGATGCCAGTCACAGCTGCTGGTGAAACTTCAGGTCCTACAATGCCAAGACCACGGCCACACAGCCCGGAAAAATCTACAACAGCTAATAAAATATGAATTGCATTGTTCCACAGAAACAAAATCCACCGCCCTCCTCAAATCACAGTTAATCAGCCAAAGGAAGGAGCAAAAGTGGAGCAAATATGGAACAGGGAAGGCAGGACTGGCCGTGACCCATGACAACTAGGAGCTCTGAGGTGTTTTCTCTTTGTGGACCAGGCCTGATGCGCAGGGCGGGTGTAGCAACCAGGAAAGTAAATGGTAGTTTGGTTGTCTGTCTCACCCCTGCATGGTTGCTTAGGACAGTCCCCAATTTGCAAGGGCAGTCTTTGAAGCTGTGTGACAAAACATTACAGTGAAGCTCTTTGGATATGAGTGGTAGAGACGTCAGCACCTGCTTAGCACACCTGTTAAAAACAGTGGGACCTCACAGGGTTTAGATCGGGCACCGTACACGTACGCTAGGAAGCTGGAACTTGCTGTACACTTATGGTTTGTCTAAAAGGGTAAGATCTGAAATGCTGACGGAGGCCAGCTGCCTTCCCCAATTTCAAAATGCTCTCATCGAATTTCTCCCAGTTGTACGCAAGGGCTTCGTTCAGGTACGATCCTCGATGTCTGGGCCAGTCAGAAGGCATCCCATGACCCCTCCGGCACACTAGTCACATGTTACAGCAGGCAGACAGCCAACCTGCCTATTTGTAAGAAAGGGCCAACATGCGTTCAGTTTACAAATGAAACCAGGGCCAGGACCGAGGTGAATGTGGGGCTTGTAAAACACATTCTGGCGTGCAGTGCGTTCACGGTAATGTTCACCATTCTAGTTCGTTTCCCAGTTTGCTACTTATTTGTATTATGCTGTGTGTGCGCGCGCCTGTGCACGTGCAAAGAGCTGTCAAGTCACAGCTGGCTTATGGCAACCCCAGCAAGAGGCTTTCAAAGCAACCGAGAAGCAGAGGTGGTTTGCTATTGCCTTCCTCTGCAGATTCTTCCTTGGTGGTCCCCCTTCCAAGTCCCAGCACTGCTTAACTTCTGAGATCTGAGAAGCAGAGGCGGTTTGCTACTGCCTTCCTCTGCAGAGTCTTCCTTGGTGGTCCCCCTTCCAAGTCCCAGCACTGCTTAACTTCTGAGATCTGAGAAGCAGAGGCGGTTTGCTACTGCCTTCCTCTGCAGAGTCTTCCTTGGTGGTCCCCCTTCCAAGTCCCAGCACTGCTTAACTTCTGAGATCTGAGAAGCAGAGGCGGTTTGCTACTGCCTTCCTCTGCAGATTCTTCCTTGGTGGTCGCTAATCCAAGTAGCTATCTTACTTTGCTTCCGAGATCTGAGAAGCAGGCGTGGTTTGCCACTGCCTTCCTCTGCAGAGTCTTTCTTGGTGGTCCCCCTCATCCAAGTACCAACACGTCTTAGCTTCTGAAATCTGATGAAATTGGGCGATGACATCCCGCTTTCCCTCCAACCCTCATGCTAGTAGCCTTACAGTTAATCATGAGAGCCAGTTTGCTGTAGTGGTTAAGTGTGTGGACTCTAATCTGGGAGAACCGGGTTTGATTCCCCACTCCTCCACTTGCAGCTGCTGGATGGCCTTGGGCAAGCCATAGAGCTGTTCTCTCATCAAAGAGAAACTCCTGTTTTAAAAGGGGGGGAAAGGACGATGGGGGAATCGATGGCTAGATGGGGAAAAAAATGAATATCAGAAGAACACAAGAAGAGCCCTGCTGGATCAGACCAGTGGTTCATCCCGTCCAGTATCCCATCTCACACGGTGACCAACCAGCTCCTCTGGAGGGCCAGCAAAAGGGCACAGAGGCCGAGGCCTTCCTAAGAACATAAAAAGAGCCCTGCTGGATCAGACCAGTGAGGGTCCACCTAGTCCAGTGTGCTGTCTCACACAGGGGCCAACCAGCTCCTCCGGAGGGCCAACAACAGGACATGGAGGCCAAGGCCTTCCCCTGATAAGAACCTCAGAAGTGCCCTGCTAGATAAGACCAATGAGGGTCCACCTAGTCCAGTGTGCTGTCTCACACAGGGGCCAACCAGCTCCTCCGGAGGGCCAACAACAGGGCAGAGAGGCCGAGGCCTTCCTAAGAACATAAAAAGAGCCCTGCTGGATCAGACCAGTGAGGGTCCCTCTAGTCCAGCCTCCCGTCTCACACAGTGGCCAACCAGTTCCTCTGGAGGGCCAACCACAGGGCAGGGAGGCCGAGACCTTCCCCTGCTGAGAACCTTAGAAGGGCCCTGCTGGATCAGACCAGTGAAGGTCCATCTAGTCCAGCATCCCGTCTCTCACAGTGGCCAGAGACCTTCCCCTGCTGAGAACATGAGAAGAGACCTGCTGGATCAGACCAGTGAAGGTCCATCTAGTCCAGCATCCCGTCTCTCACAGTGGCCATGCAGTTCCTCGGGGAGGGGGCCTTCCCTGAAGTCAGCTCTTGGCTCTGTGATTCAGAGATCTCCGGGATTCGCCTCTGAATGTGGAGGTTCCCCTCCCCACAACAACCCCAGTTTTGTCGTATAGGAAGGCCCCCGCAGGTGAACGCCAAATGTGACACTTGGAGTGCTGTTTTAATAAACCTGTGACATCCTTGTGTTTCAGGAAGCTCTTATCATGGCGAGCATGGATCATCCCCACCTGGTCCGGCTCCTGGGGGTTTGCTTGAGCCCCACGATCCAGCTGGTCACTCAGCTGATGCCCTACGGCTGCCTCCTGGACTACGTTCACGAGCATAAGGACAACATTGGCTCTCAGCTGCTGCTGAACTGGTGCGTCCAGATAGCCAAGGTAAGCTCTTGCAAGTGTGTTTCGTCATTACCAATGGGGTCAGGGCCGGCCGGCGTTGTGAATGTCAACCCTTTCGAGAGCTCCCACCAATGAGGTCTTTAGATATGTTCTGGGCCTGTAGCCAGGGTTTTTGAAATGCAGGGCATTTAAATTTCTTAAGGGGCACCGGCTAATCGGCGTAATCTGGGGGAGAAGGCAGTGATGCTCTGGGCTGGATGGGAACTCAGGGGGCTTTGCCAGCAAGTCGGGGGGCCTCGCCCCGAGCTGCCCCACTGGAGCTACAGGCCTGATACGTTCCGTTATCTACCGTGCGCAAGAATAATTTCTGCATTCATTCGTGGAGTACATAAGCACACCTCATGATGGGAGTGAGGAGTTCTATATTCTCTTCTGCTTCCCTGGATATTTTATTAAATTACCCTTAAGTCTGTCTACTGAGACTGGCGCTCTCTTATTTGTTCTGTGGTTTGGATATACCTGTTGCTAGAAATCAAATTTGGGATGCGCGTAGAAATCACTTTCTTGAACTTTCAAAAACCAGATACAATCTATAAGGATGTTTGCCGAAGTTGGGCATCTGTGCAAATGACCGAGATAAAAAACCAAAACGAACGTTGATTATTTCCCATAATCGGACAGCAATAGCGCTTTCCCAGGAGAATCACACCGGATAGCTTTTGTGATTTCAGACTCTGAAGGCTTGAGAAAACTTTTATCCACTTCTGGTGTCATGCGGAGTTTGATATCTAAAGCATGCAGGTTTTCACGCAGCTTGCGGAAAGAAATCACATAGGAAGGGGAGGCAGTGTCCACATCGCACTCTGTGATGTGTAACTGTTTTGTCCTGTGGCTCCTAGAAGTCTTTTATGTACAATCTGGTATGTCATTTAAGGGGTTCAAGGACCTGTTCGCTTGGCCCTGCCAATTGGCCGCCCACCAAACGGAATGGCATCCCGCCACACGATGTTGTGTGGACTACAGCTATGCAAATCGACCTTTAGAAGCCACTTATACCATGTACAAATGTACATTGGCATATTTACCTGTTGTACTCCTATATATTAGCACAGTGCCGTGGGTTATTTTTGCTTTGTTTGTCTGCAGCCATCGGTATGCCCTTCCTAAGGATCTGTTAGAACTGGGTGAAGGCAACGCTAAGGTTCTTTGACTTGTGTAAGAATCAGCCTCCTGTTAGGAAATTTTACGCTAAGGCTTTTTTTTTGGTGGTGGGGGGAGGATTAACAGTGTGGGATGGTGGAAGAAGATGTGGACGGAAGACCGGTACTTTACCCCTGATCGGTTCTTTCTTTTCCAGGAAGAAGGGCGCCAGTGGGTAAAATCAATGGATGATAACTCTTTGGGTGAGGGAGGAATAGCAATTCTCTGGAATAACAAGGTGGTTAATTATTGAGATGGAGCAACGTTTAATTAATCTGTGTTTCTCGGCATTGCCGTAGCAGTCTGACCTTGCGTTGCAGTGTGAAGCCCCCCCCCCCCATCGGCTCTTCATAAAGAGAATGTATGGAAGCATCTGTCTCTCCAAAAAGTGCATTGTGGGCCCCAGACAGAGATTCCCCTCCACTGCTTCACCATCTCCACTTGCCAAGATCCGTTTCTTCCAAGCTGCTTGATTTCTATATCCATTGTGTGTTTCCGTAGCCTATCTTTCTGGAAGTGAGAACTCTCGGCTTGCAACAAGGCGGCGTGGGGGGTTATTTCATAATGCTATCAATTGCGTCGCTGCTCGCTGTGTGTCAATGGCATTGCGATTGGGTCACTATGGGCCGGTGTTTATCTTGCAACATGCACAGAGTTCCCAGCCTCCAGGTGGGGACTGGTAGTCTCCCGGAATTATGACTGATCTCCGGACTACAGAATCAGTCTCTTTGGAGAAGATGGCTGCTTTGGAGGATGGACTGTATGCAGGCCCCTAGCTAGGATTTTGTGGCTTGTGGGGCACTTTTTTTGGGTGGGGCTGATGTTCTCAGTGCAGATTAACACATGGAATTCACTGCCGCAGGAGGTGGCGGCGGCTACAAGCATGGACAGCTTCAAGAGGGAATTGGACAATATGGAGCAGAGGTCCATCAGGGGCTCTTAGCCACAAGGTATAGATAGGAACTCTCTGTCTGGGGCAAGGGATGCTCTGTCTTCTTGGTGCTTGGGGGGGGGGGCAACAGTGGGAGGTCTTCTAGTGTCCTGGCCCCACTGCTGGACCTCCTGATGACACCTGGTATTTTTGGCCACTGTGTGACACAGAGTGTTGGACTGGATGGGCCATTGGCCTGATCCAACATAGGCTGCTCTTATGTCTGGGGCAGTGATGCTCTGTATTCTTGGTGTTTGGGGGGGCAACAGTGGGATCTGGAGCTTGGAGGGCATTTGAACTCACCAGTCGCATGGGGGCTGGGAGTGGCTTATTGGTGAGTTGAAATGGCCTCCAGGCTCCAGATTGGCTGGCTACCCTCAGGGGCCAATCCGCAGGCAGGTTCTGGGATCCCGCCTGCCTTTGTTCTGGGGCTTCAAGCTCCAACTCGGTGGCCTGCCCGGGCAAGCCCAGACATGCCTCTCCACGCTCCCTCTAGGAGGCCTGCCAGCCAAGTCCAGTCATGCCTCCAGCAGCAGTTAAGCCGGAGTGGAAGATTGCTCATGTCCAGACATAACACCAGGGGCTCGTCCAGATGCAGCCAAGAGAAGACTCAGTGACAGGCTAGCAGCCTGGGCTCCAGCCAGTGAGCCAGACCGAGGTTGCAGCTGGCTTCATCCCTGGCCGTATTCTTGCCCCGTTGGGACCCAGCAGGTAGATTTCAGAGGCTGCCTTAAGAACAGCTTTTCCCACAACCTGCTTAAGCTGAGGGCCAGCGAGGGAGCTCCTTGCTGGTGCAGCTGGTTTTTGAGGTCATCGCAAACCTTGTGCCGTGTGCCCACAGTGCCTGTGAGGTTGGTGAGGCTGAGAGAGCTCTCTCGAAGACTGCCCTTGAGAGAACAGCTCTGAGAGAATTTATGACTGACCCAAGGTTTTAGTTTAGCTGGGTTGGAAAACTTGTTTAGACAAGCTCCCGGACTGCACAGTCCCCTTGTTTCCAAGGCCTGTGTGCCAGCTCCGGGATTACAGTCTTCCGGTGCTTTGGGGACTTTTGCACAGCTCTGTGTGAACTGCTGTGTGAATCAAAGCTAGGGAAACTTCAGTTTTGTTCCGTTTGCTTGGCTAGTCAGGAAGAAGTGGCTTCTGACATACCCGGAAGAGAAACTCTTTTGATATAAAAATATGAAAGAAATCAAATAGAGAATATAAAAAGAAGAAATTCATACCATCATATGCGTAATTACAATTACATCAAAGGAGAAGAGAAGACAGGAAGAAAAAAGATATTTCAAACATATTCCAATTATCCATAGACTATATATATATATGAAAAAAGAAAGAAAAATCCACAATTGTGATACATTAGAATTGATTCTTAACCAAGCTTCAAATTATATTCCTTAAATGGTGATCTCATAATACTGAATAATTAATATTAACATAAGTCATATATTACTCTATATAATGCCCTGTAAGCATATTAATAGTTTTTAAATAGTTTTAAAATATCTGAAAATTGAATAAAGTCATACAATATAGAATAGTGTGACACAATAATTGTTATATAGTGAATATTAAATAAGTACCTATCTTTTCACACTTTCTCACTCTTTGAAACACTTCAGACATTTCAGTATGCTAATTCATGTATAACATTTCAGTAACTTCTGTCTTTTCTCCCCAGTAATTAAATAAAATATGAATAGGAAGCTTTCCATTTATCCTGGAATTCTTTGATCGGCTTTTTATTTATGCAACTCATTAGTTTTGCCATTACTGCATTTTCAGCTAATTTGTCTTTCCGATCCTCTTGGCTTGGGCACTCATCTCCTTTCCGTTTTGTTGCAAATGTAATTCTGGCTGCCGTTATCATGTATCTAAATAATTCTTCCGAGATTTTTTCCCGATATTCTCGGCTAAAATACCCAGTAACATATTCTCAACTTTCATAGTAAATTTGACTTTTAATTTAATTTTATTTTTTGATTTCACTAGAGAAGCTGAACTAACTACAAGCCATGCGTGGCGGGATGCCAAATGGTGTTCCTTCGGAACAGCACTTGTGGCTTCTTCTGCCACATCGTGCTCAATTTCCGCTCAACCTTCAGTTTCCTAAAGCAGTTTGAAAACATGTGTGATACTTTTTCTGGAAACCCAGAACTCAGTCGGGCATTCAAGCAAGGTTCGGTGGCCTCCCTCTTGACATGCTTGTCTTTCCTCAGGCGGTTTGGGATATTTGCCCTTCAGGGGAAGGGCTGCAACGGAGAGGAAGAGAATCTACTTGGTGTGCAGAAGGTGCCAGGTTCAATCTATTCCATCTCCAGTTAAAAGGCAGTAGGAGACATGAAAGACCTCTGCCTCTGGATGCTGAAGAAGAGACATTGGCAGCCTCAGTATACAGTAAGGTAAAGGTAAAGGTTTCCCTTACTAAAAAGCCAGTTGAATCTGACTCTAGGGATGCGGTGCTCATCTCCGTTTCCAAACCAAAGAGCCAGCGCTGTCTGAAGACATCTCTGTGGTCATGTGGCCGGCATGATGTAACACCAAATGTGCGAGTAGATCAATGGGTACCTACCTTAGATGGTAGGGGGCACCCTCCCCCCGTCAAGGGGGGTCCATGGAGCAACGACGACGAGAGGCGAGGCGGCGAGCGGCAGACGGCGAGCGGCGGAAAAATGGCGACGGAGGCATAACATCTTCGAGGGTCCGGATGCTGGTGGAAGGCGGAGCCAGGAAGACGCCGGAGCGTGGAAGGCGCATGCGCAGTGGAGCCTTAATGGACGGAACCGGAAGCTGCACCGGAAGCGCGCCGAGCGCCAGAGAGGCCCGCTGTACCACCACCGGGAGGAAAGAAGCCAGAAGAAGCCGTGTTGATGAGCCGATCCAGAACATTCCTCCACTGGGTGCTGTTAGG